GATCTACATCTCAAGTGACTACATCGTGAGACAAACGATAATACACTTTATTATTGCATCCACCACGATGAATAACAACAACCTTTTCCTCGACAATAGCCTCCATTTGGCGCGAAAATATGTCTGTCTGCTCCGAGAAGGGAACAGTTTTTCAAAAGCGAAGCTCGAAGAAAACTGTGAGCTTCATTGCCTCGGCCTCTCTGGCATACTTAAGCACTGACGTTTTTAAGCCACGAACGTCAACTAGAAATTTATGCTTTTGCTTTAAGCACGTTTTCATGCCCGACCAATGAGTTACAAAGCTCTCATTTTAGCATTTAAAACTTGACATTTTCAATGAAAAAGGAGTAATACGCGTTGAAGTAGAGAAGTTCGGAAGTTGGGACGATGCGATATTTTCGGGCGAAAGTTTACTTCAAGAGCGGAAGAGCCCCGGGCCGGTTTAAATAAAAATAAATAAAACTAAATAAACTTTTATATTTACCCTTCCTTTGCTCTTGAAGTAAACTTTCGCCCGAAAATATCGCATCGTTCTGACTAGTAGCCTTTTCTTTGGGAGACGAGACAATCTCGTTCCCAGAGCTCACGTGCCTCTTGGTCAGCGCCAAGACACAGAGTTCGGTGTCTTGGTGTCATGGAATGCTTAATTACATCCCATAGGAACAGCATGTTTAGAATCATATTTATTCCGTAACAATNTTTTTAAATATTTTTTTATTTAATGTAAAACGCCATGGACAAATAGTGGATTGGCGCTATATAAATATTTTATTATTATCATTATTATTATTATTATTATTATTATTATTATTATTATTAAAAATATGAGAACTTCATCAGCCCATACGAATTCGCGTCTTTGGCTCTGATCATACAGTTGCGTAATTGTTAATAGATACTGACGTTTAAGCATTAATGGTTTGAATATAAACTAAATGGAAACCACAAACGAAATTTTACTCACTTAAGTATGTGTAAAAATAGCATTTCTAAGGCCAGCCTGAAAACCGTGGTACGTCGAGGGAAACAAATGTCAATTAAAAATAACGCCGACCGTCCAGTTCAAAATGTCTCGGTCCCTGTGAAATAGCAATGATAATTCACTCTTTCTTTTTATAAGAATATGTTTTATAAGAATATCGAGTCTGAAATTTGCGAAATTTTAAGGATATTTTAAGAATAAACCCGAGGCTGAGATTTTGAGAAGAATAAATTTTTTGCGTTGAAAATTTGTAAATACAGTACAATTATATGTTTTTAACTAAAAGGTATAAAATCCCTCATTCTCTATACGGTAAAAGTAGCCAAAAAGCAACAAGAACAGCAATAGCCGTATGTTTGATGCTTTGATCATGATGCCTGCAGGCTGGGTCCAAAATTACGCTAATACCCAGGTCTAATACCATCCAGACACTTAATATCTTCGAAAACAGAGATTTTATACGCTGTAATATAAGAATATTCACAACAATATATTCAGCCTAAATATCGGCAGAAAAAAAAGAATATTCAGCCTCGGTCGGTGTCATGGAATGCTTAATTACATCCCATAGGAACAGCATGTTTAGAATCATATTTATTCCGTAACAATAGTTTTGGTGTAGGTGTCATGGAATGCTTAATTACATCCCATGGGAACGGCTTGTTTGGAATCGTGTTTAAAATTTCGTGGCACTCGGTTATGTGATTTGTATTCTTTCATTGTGTAACCAGTTCTGTTCGGTGATTTTGTGGTTGGTCCTTGACCAATAGTTTTCTTTTCCTTTCTTTGATTGTAACACCTTGCGTTTACATATTTTTTTTTTTTGCATAAATTTCAAATGATTATGTATTCGGAGCATAACATTTCGCAGAAGCAGAATTCCTTCACTTAGATACAAAGCGCCTACCGATGACGAATAAGCACAGTTTACGTTATATTCCAGTCTATTTTATTCTAAACTCTTTCATCCAACAAAGGATTAAATATAGCTTGAGGGCTTGGTACACTGCCAACTTATTGGCTGCATTGTAAGTATATTCATGACGAGCGTCGCTTGCGCAGTGACTCGTGTATAATCACTAAGACATTTGAGCACAAATCTGCAAGTAAGATTTTGCGTGCCAATGATACTTTAACTGTTTAGGCAGAACTCTACGCTGAAACAAGAATCTCGTGGACTTTTAACTCAAGAACCTCGCTGAAAAAGAAAAATCAAAGATTTTATACAAAGGTGTGCGATTTTTAGAGTGTGCCAGCATGCTTTGCCTATATCGTTGAGCTAAACAGTGTTCAGCGGCTCCGAGGTGCCTTACTCAGGTAGTATGTGATTTACTCGTCATCGCAAACCTTTTAATTTGTCTTTACAGCAGCTATTAGAACGTCCAACAAAAGGAAGTTGACGGCTAGCTGGTGGAAACCTTCTTTCTCCGCATCAACATTGTAAGTTTTAACAATACTTCTTGCCAGCACTAGCGTGGAGAGTTAACTGACTGTGATTAACAGGACTGGTAAATTATTAACGCCTTCCAATGAAAGTCATCTGAACAGTACTGCTGTCTGTTTAACAATCTTGTTCTTAATGTTGACGACCGTCATTTGATGGATTTTCAGAAATTTTGATGCACTATTTAAACTCTTCTATTTTCATACCTCTCATTATATTCTAGACGATGTTGACAGCTTAGCTCAAGCTTGATATTGGTAGCTGGACTCATTAAGCTGTAGCTTTCAAATAATAATTTCAAGGGAACTTAACGAAATAATATAAACCAAACCTTTCCCTTCATACAGTGCTGAAATTTCGAGTCTCTGCTGGTATCAGTTTTGACCAGGAAAGTTTCAGTTTCTAGACATGAAATGGGCTCATTCCACTAAAGCAATTGAAAGTTATTTGACTTAACTTTTAACGCAGTCCGTCTTCTTAAATAGACTTCCAGCGGGCTAGAAAAAAGCTTGTAAGATTTAAAGAAAGATCTCTCAGGAACCTTGTGACTTATCTGCAGCATCAAAAAGTGTGTGTAAACAACTTTGTTCTCACGACCCAAAAACAAAACCAGTTGAGCAGAATGTAGACGAACACATAGTTTTTAACAGTCTTGAAATTACGAAAGAAACATCCTCAAAGCTCCGCGCAAAGCTTGGTGAAGACTTCTTGTTCGTTCTATTAACATTCGGACGTTATTAACTCGGTTTAAACAGATCATGAATTCTGCATAATTCCAAAAAGAATGTTAAGTATTTACACAGTTGACGCCGATTAAGTGCAGTTAAGTGGTTCAGTACCTGACCCATTGGCTTTGTACTCCACTTATGGGAATATGAGTTTCGCTGAACACTAATACCTTAGTCTTACTTATGAACAAGAGAATTTCCCGACTGCTATTTGATAGTCACATTTACTTTAATCTTTTTATTTAAATCACTTGAACAACAGCTGTACTGAGAGGCAGAAATCTGTTTCAATTGGGCTTGAAGCATGGACGAACTTGAGAAAATCGGATTTGTCGGAGTCTTAAGACGAGCTGATTCGAAAATGACTTTAAAGGATGTGTAGCTTCGTTATTAGTATATGCAACCTGCGAAGTTAGTACACGATCGAAACACGCAATAAGCGCATGTACTGAGACCAATTATTGCCAAATATCAATCGTTTGCACGCTATGAATTCATTATGCCAGCAGAAAGGAGCCTCTATACTCTATACTGGCATGTTTATAAAAAAACTTTTGCTTCATTGGAGGAGAGCAAGTTCAAAGTGAAAGTGCTTAGCCTCAGTTGTGTCCACTCGCCGACAGTTTACACAACGCGTCCGTGAAAAGCTGCTTTTCTATCAGTGACAAGCAAGCCGCGGGTCTGAATTAGCATAATCTCCTTGTACTTATGACTTGTGTTTATAAACTTTAGACAACAGGCCATTCATCGTGGCTTTTATTAGAATGATTGACAGTTCGTTTTTAATGAAGCAATGTCTTAACACAAATCAATCAGGAACTTAATTTACTCACAGAGAATAAGTAACCTTTAACTACTGATTATGCAGGAGGGTTACAAGGCATCACGGTGTTCGCGGATCAAAACTCGGCTTTGACTTTTTGATTTAGAAAAGATCTCGCTGATGTCTTGCGTTAATCCGCCCTTTGCACAACCTAAGCCAGGTGTTCAAGAGACAAAATAAATAATACCAGAAGCATATCATAATACATAATACATTACTCGGCTAATTTGAGCCAGCTTCTCCCCACAGGTAAATAAGGAGTCTCGAAAAACTATTCTGCAAACTAATACATACGTATCTGACTGAAGCTTTAGCTTGCTACAAGGGGATAACTTTCGAAACAGTGATAATTTCGGTCAATCGTAGAAAGAAGGATGACCTTTTGCGAATGAGCAGGCTATAAACTTTTCCGTGATTATTTCATTTGCTTTCGTGTCTTTCGTCATAGCGTGGTTTTGATAAAACCTCTTACCAGCTGCCAATCACTGCTAAACATAGTACATTTTTTGGAACCGAGGAGTATCAGTAGTTCGTCACGTGTGAGGAAAGTTGCGAAAAAACTGTTCAACATAGTTAGCAAAGCTGCACCATAAAACTAATTAGTAAACGCGACAGTACATTATTTAATACAGAAAAGCTCCACCCTGCCTTTTTCTGTTATAAAACATGCGAGGTAGGGTGTGAATGAACTGCGAGAAGCGAGTGTTTCTGCCTAATCGAGATCTCCCGTCACTTTCGTGAAAATCAAGGTTCAACGTTTTTTATTTGCTTTATGATAAAGCTTTACATCTGCAGAAAAATTGGATTCAATCACGTTTTAGCCTCAGCTGTGTGCACTGTATGGATCGTGTGCGACTGCATCAACAGTTTTTTGTTTTACACGTAAGATATTCTAGCTAATTTTGTGTTGGAACTGTTGTAGTAGAGAAATTTCCCTTACGTTTCTCGAGAAAAGAATTTTCTCTAACGATCTGAAACTGCACGCACACAAAACCAAAATTGCTGATGATGATGTTAGTCTATACATTTGTAATGATTCGTAAGCTCTCATAAATAATCAACAAATTTGTTTTCAGATTATGATAGACTGACCCGCCTAGACTAGCTCTAGCCATCTGTGTCCCAGGCCGATCGGTAACGATGTTGTTTTCAAATAAAGATGATAATGATAATGAAGGCTGTGTAGGATTCCACGTGCGAATTTTTATTGTAGCTTGCCATTTATGTATGCAAATTAGGACTATTTAAACGCTACGGTTTCCTAGCGCGCCAATCTTTTCAACGTTTTCTCATCTAGCTTCAAGTTAATATTGTTGCGGACTCTATACTCTACCTAGCTTCACCGTCATCGCTACAGTCAGGAAACATTTGTAAGTCTTTACATTCTGTCCTGTATTTTTCTTATCGCTCGGCTCTTCTTCACATGTGTTTTTATTTATTTTTCTAGTCGAANCTAGCTTCACCGTCATCGCTACAGTCAGGAAACATTTGTAAGTCTTTACATTCTGTCCTGTATTTTTCTTATCGCTCGGCTCTTCTTCACATGTGTTTTTATTTATTTTTCTAGTCGAACATCGCTCGATCTTTCAATACTCAACGGGCTCCTCGAGTCTCTTCAAGAGAGCGTGAGTTCGAAATCTCTGGACGTAGCGTTAACAAGAACTGTAAGCTACAAGCTGTTTTAACCTATGAGGGCGCTTATTGATGGCGTTATCAGTCTATTTCGCCGAAACTGATTGGTCAGGCTATCCGTTGTATGGTATTTGTTAAAGTCAGTGTATCTTCTTTCACCATTCCACAGCCAGTCATTGAAAACTGTTGAACTCTAGGCTGAGCATTGAGCAGAGCCCGTGTATTTCGTGGCTTTTACGTTTTCAAGTGGTTTGAAATAAAAACCATACGGTTCATAGAATTAAACATTCAGTCAGTCAGGCGTCAGTCAGTCAGTCCAGTCAGTCAGTCAGTCAGTCAGTCAGTCAGTCCGTCAGTCCAGTCAGTCAGTCAGTCAGTCCGCCAGTCAGTCAATCAGTCCAGTCACTCAGTCAGTCAGTCAGTCAGTCCGTCAGTCAGTCAATCAGTCCAGTCACTCAGTCAGTCAGTCAGTCAGTCAGTCAGTCAGTCAGTCAGTTCGTCAGTCAATCAGTCCAGTCAGTCAGTGAGTCAGTCTGCCAGTCAGTCATTTAGTCAGTCAGTCATCCAGCCAGCCAGCCAGTCAGTCAATCAGTCAGTCAGTCCGTCTGCATGTCAGTTAATCTTCATATTCCTTTCAGGTAACTGACACGCCATACCAGTGAAATTAAGAAAATGTCCCAGCCATCGAGAATAGATATCACGGAGGATGAGAACCGAGCCTGGTGCATCGTCTATGGCATTGAGTCAGCTGCGATCATCCTTGGTAATCTCCTCGTCATAGCTGCTTTTGCTGCCACCAAGTCCCTTCACAAGAAAACCTACCTTCTTATTATTAGCTTAGCTGTAGCTGATCTCCTGGTAGGTGCAGTAGCAGTTCCGATGTTCATCCGTGTGATCGGCGGTTCAGTCACCAGATGGTGGGAATTGGATAGTCACCTGCCACACACGCACACTGCTATAGAGATCTTCTGTTCGTACGCCTCGATTTTCTTCCTCGTTGCCATCGCCTTAGAAAGGCTTTACGCTGCATTGTCACCACTTAATCATGGTAACACGAAAGCTTCGGTTTATTACACTGTCATCGCCTCAATTTGGGCTCTAGCACTGCTCCTGGGCATTTTATCCTTTCTTCGTGAGAGTCACGTTGGCGCCGCCGACAATGGGGGAGTATTTTTTTTTATTATGGTTTTGCTTGCTCTTTCTATGATCACTCTTGTGATCGCTTATGGTATAATAGCGATCAGTTTGCTAAGTTCGCGCAGTAAGAGCGATGATTTTGAGAAAAGAATGGCAGTCACACTCCTGATATTGACCGTGATTTTCATAGTTACTTGGTTGCCATTCAAAGTTATCAATTATATCTTTCATTTGGATCCTGCTGCAACCCTTTCGTGCGCAGAAAATGATTTTGCTTGCCTCTACCATGCAGTATATGCCACCAAGCTTCTTCACTACTTTAACTCAATCGTGAATCCTATCGTCTATGCTTTGCGCGTGAAAGATTTTAGGAAAGGGGTAAGGCGGGTTTTTTGTGGGTGCTGCGGAGAGAGCCTTCCACAGAATCCTCCCTTGGGAACGGAAAAAGGAATCGACAACATGGTGTCCATGCAGTCTATTGAGACTGTTGTTCCCTCCATGTTTTTGTAAATAGTCACTTATGGAGCTCCTTTTAGTGATAAAAATGGAGGTAGACAAGAAAGAGATTCGGTGGATGCATCTGTAGTTGGGTAGGAATTTGCGTAATTACATTTCTGGTCTTGTTTTGTATCAGACAATCAATCGAGTCTGAAATTTTAACGTCCAAGTCAGCGCGTTGCTAAGTAACGGGTGCGAAATGATTGTTCTTTCTTGCTGACAATAAATGACATCTTCAAAAGTTATAAGTTTTTTTCAGAATCTTATGACGGGTTTTGTCTTTCACGGACTCATTTACTCGCAATACCCTAGAAGTGATTTTAGCCCAAATTACTGCGTGAAAAGTATTTTTTATGGTAAGCAATTCATATTTACTGTCACGTATACGTAGAACCAGTAACGGAAAATATTTTCTTAGTTGTGTATGTAGAAAAATTGAGATGTAGAATAATAATAAATGCAAGGTATTGTTTTCTTTCTGCTGAATATAGAGTGGACGTAGATTTGTTAGTAGATCAAAACATATGTTTTTAAAACGAGGTTATCAAGTGTCTTATTGCAACCGTTGTAAATTGCTTTTAATCCACAAAAGATATTTGTAATGTGAAATGTAGTTGTGACTAGGTCCTTTTAATTGTAGATATTTTTTATTCATAAATAAAACAGTAACCCCCCGTATCCTGGATTCTTTTGATGTAGCCATACTGTGTAAGCCCGAGCGCTGGTGAACGTATATGTAGTCTTAAAATGAGCCATGTTTTTTTGTTTGATAATCAAATGCAATGGCCCCTTAAGGTATCTTACTTTTTGTCATGACCATCTAAATTTATATATCGATAAAATATTATCATGGTTTAGTGAGCGATAATCCAAATCTGGTCTGAGGCCGTTGTAAATTGCTTTTAATCCACAAAAGATATTTGTAACGTGAAATGTAGTTGTGACTAGGTCCTTTTAATTGTAGATATTTTTTATTCATAAATAAAACAGTAACCCCCCGTATCCTGGATTCTTTTGATGTAGCCATACTGTGTAAGCCCGAGCGCTGGTGAACGTATATGTAGTCTTAAAATGAGCCATGTTTTTTTGTTTGATAATCAAATGCAATGGCCCCTTAAGGTATCTTACTTTTTGTCATGACCATCTAAATTTATATATCGATAAAATATTATCATGGTTTAGTGAGCGATAATCCAAATCTGGTCTGAGGCCGTTGTAAATTGCTTTTAATCCACAAAAGATATTTGTAACGTGAAATGTAGTTGTGACTAGGTCCTTTTAATTGTAGATATTTTTTATTCATAAATAAAACAGTAACCCCCCGTATCCTGGATTCTTTTGATGTAGCCATACTGTGTAAGCCCGAGCGCTGGTGAACGTATATGTAGTCTTAAAATGAGCCATGTTTTTTTGTTTGATAATCAAATGCAATGGCCCCTTAAGGTATCTTACTTTTTGTCATGACCATCTAAATTTATATATCGATAAAATATTATCATGGTTTAGTGAGCGATAATCCAAATCTGGTCTGAGGCCGTTGTAAATTGCTTTTAATCCACAAAAGATATTTGTAACGTGAAATGTAGTTGTGACTAGGTCCTTTTAATTGTAGATATTTTTTATTCATAAATAAAACAGTAACCCCCCGTATCCTGGATTCTTTTGATGTAGCCATACTGTGTAAGCCCGAGCGCTGGTGAACGTATATGTAGTCTTAAAATGAGCCATGTTTTTTTGTTTGATAATCAAATGCAATGGCCCCTTAAGGTATCTTACTTTTTGTCATGACCATCTAAATTTATATATCGATAAAATATTATCATGGTTTAGTGAGCGATAATCCAAATCTGGTCTGAGGCCGTTGTAAATTGCTTTTAATCCACAAAAGATATTTGTAACGTGAAATGTAGTTGTGACTAGGTCCTTTTAATTGTAGATATTTTTTATTCATAAATAAAACAGTAACCCCCCGTATCCTGGATTCTTTTGATGTAGCCATACTGTGTAAGCCCGAGCGCTGGTGAACGTATATGTAGTCTTAAAATGAGCCATGTTTTTTTGTTTGATAATCAAATGCAATGGCCCCTTAAGGTATCTTACTTTTTGTCATGACCATCTAAATTTATATATCGATAAAATATTATCATGGTTTAGTGAGCGATAATCCAAATCTGGTCTGAGGCCGTTGTAAATTGCTTTTAATCCACAAAAGATATTTGTAACGTGAAATGTAGTTGTGACTAGGTCCTTTTAATTGTAGATATTTTTTATTCATAAATAAAACAGTAACCCCCCGTATCCTGGATTCTTTTGATGTAGCCATACTGTGTAAGCCCGAGCGCTGGTGAACGTATATGTAGTCTTAAAATGAGCCATGTTTTTTTGTTTGATAATCAAATGCAATGGCCCCTTAAGGTATCTTACTTTTTGTCATGACCATCTAAATTTATATATCGATAAAATATTATCATGGTTTAGTGAGCGATAATCCAAATCTGGTCTGAGGCCGTTGTAAATTGCTTTTAATCCACAAAAGATATTTGTAACGTGAAATGTAGTTGTGACTAGGTCCTTTTAATTGTAGATATTTTTTATTCATAAATAAAACAGTAACCCCCCGTATCCTGGATTCTTTTGATGTAGCCATACTGTGTAAGCCCGAGCGCTGGTGAACGTATATGTAGTCTTAAAATGAGCCATGTTTTTTTGTTTGATAATCAAATGCAATGGCCCCTTAAGGTATCTTACTTTTTGTCATGACCATCTAAATTTATATATCGATAAAATATTATCATGGTTTAGTGAGCGATAATCCAAATCTGGTCTGAGGCCGTTGTAAATTGCTTTTAATCCACAAAAGATATTTGTAACGTGAAATGTAGTTGTGACTAGGTCCTTTTAATTGTAGATATTTTTTATTCATAAATAAAACAGTAACCCCCCGTATCCTGGATTCTTTTGATGTAGCCATACTGTGTAAGCCCGAGCGCTGGTGAACGTATATGTAGTCTTAAAATGAGCCATGTTTTTTTGTTTGATAATCAAATGCAATGGCCCCTTAAGGTATCTTACTTTTTGTCATGACCATCTAAATTTATATATCGATAAAATATTATCATGGTTTAGTGAGCGATAATCCAAATCTGGTCTGAGGCCGTTGTAAATTGCTTTTAATCCACAAAAGATATTTGTAATGTGAAATGTAGTTGTGACTAGGTCCTTTTAATTGTAGATATTTTTTATTCATAAATAAAACAGTAACCCCCCGTATCCTGGATTCTTTTGATGTAGCCATACTGTGTAAGCCCGAGCGCTGGTGAACGTATATGTAGTCTTAAAATGAGCCATGTTTTTTTGTTTGATAATCAAATGCAATGGCCCCTTAAGGTATCTTACTTTTTGTCATGACCATCTAAATTTATATATCGATAAAATATTATCATGGTTTAGTGAGCGATAATCCAAATCTGGTCTGAGGCCGCAGTAAGGCGAAAATTGGTCTCCATTTGAGTCTCCGAGGTCTCACATTCCGCGCTCATTGCTTTCCTTTATTTAATAACGTATTTTCACCATAAGCGCTGGAAGCATTCATTTCAAACTTAGCCTCCTTACCAAACATTTTCTTCAATCCAGGGCCTGGCGTTTATTAAACAACGTCATGTTTTTATCATTTTTTAAAAAACTCGTTATAGTCATGAATAAAGGTCACGGGATAAAGCTCAACTAAACCAAGACATAATAAAAGCAAACAAAAAAAGCAATGCCAGGGACATTGAAAAAAATTCTCGAGAATCTGGCAAACATGACGATCAATGAAGCAAAAAGTGCATTGTGCCGATTTTGATATAGTCGTCAGGCAGATTAGACTGATGGCCCATATTGCAGATTAGACTGTTGATGGCCCATCTTACATATTAGACTGTTGATGGCCCATCTTACATATTAGACTGTTGATGGCCCATCTTACATATTAGACTGTTGATGACCCATCTTACATATTAGACTGCTGATGGCCCATATTGCAGATTAGACTGTTGATGGCCCATATTGCAGATTAGTCTGTTTATGGCCCATCTAACAGATTAGCCTCTTGATGACCCATCTTACAGAGTAGTCTGTTGGTGGCCCATCTTACAGATCAGACTGTTGATGGCCCATCTTACAGATTAGTCTGTTTATGGCCCATCTAACAGATTAGTCTGCTGATGGCCCATCTTACAGATTAGTCTCTTACATATTAGTCTATTGATNCCGTTGTAAATTGCTTTTAATCCACAAAAGATATTTGTAATGTGAAATGTAGTTGTGACTAGGTCCTTTTAATTGTAGATATTTTTTATTCATAAATAAAACAGTAACCCCCCGTATCCTGGATTCTTTTGATGTAGCCATACTGTGTAAGCCCGAGCGCTGGTGAACGTATATGTAGTCTTAAAATGAGCCATGTTTTTTTGTTTGATAATCAAATGCAATGGCCCCTTAAGGTATCTTACTTTTTGTCATGACCATCTAAATTTATATATCGATAAAATATTATCATGGTTTAGTGAGCGATAATCCAAATCTGGTCTGAGGCCGCAGTAAGGCGAAAATTGGTCTCCATTTGAGTCTCCGAGGTCTCACATTCCGCGCTCATTGCTTTCCTTTATTTAATAACGTATTTTCACCATAAGCGCTGGAAGCATTCATTTCAAACTTAGCCTCCTTACCAAACATTTTCTTCAATCCAGGGCCTGGCGTTTATTAAACAACGTCATGTTTTTATCATTTTTTAAAAAACTCGTTATAGTCATGAATAAAGGTCACGGGATAAAGCTCAACTAAACCAAGACATAATAAAAGCAAACAAAAAAAGCAATGCCAGGGACATTGAAAAAAATTCTCGAGAATCTGGCAAACATGACGATCAATGAAGCAAAAAGTGCATTGTGCCGATTTTGATATAGTCGTCAGGCAGATTAGACTGTTGATGGCCCATATTGCAGATTAGACTGTTGATGGCCCATCTTACATATTAGACTGTTGATGGCCCATCTTACATATTAGACTGTTGATGGCCCATCCTACATATTAGACTGTTGATGGCCCATCTTACATATTAGACTGTTGATGGCCCATATTGCAGATTAGACTGTTGATGGCCCATCTTACAGATTAGTCTGTTTATGGCCCATCTAACAGATTAGCCTCTTGATGACCCATCGTACAGAGTAGTCTGTTGGTGGCCCATCTTACAGATTAGACTGTTGATGGCCCATCTTACAGATTAGACTGTTTATGGCCCATCTAACAGATTAGTCTGCTGATGGCCCATCTTACAGATTAGTCTCTTACATATTAGTCTATTGATGGCTCATCTTACAGATTACACTATTGATGGCCCATCTTACATATTAGTCTGGATGGCCCATATTACAGATTTTAAACTGTTGATGGCCCATATTACAGATTAGTCTGTTGGTGGCCCATATTAGAGATTAGTCTGTTGGTGGCCCATATTAGAGATTAGTCTGTTTATGGCCCATCTTACAGATTAGTCTGTTGGTGGTCCATCTTACAGATTAGTCTGTTGTGAAGTTTATATGAAATAATTCATATATGAACTGCAACGGGAAGCCCTGATTTTTTTTTTCAGGCTTCTTTCCGATTGCTTAAATTGGGAAATTTACTGCGATGATCATTCTTCACTTTCATCTACAACCGCAGTTCATATATGAATTATTTCATATAAACTTCACATCATT